TCTTTGTGCACACTGGAACATAAACTCCCCAGGGCAGGAAACTTGTCTTTCTACATATTTGTCAAGTATCATGTACGTTTAGAGAGATAAATAAATAACAAATATTACACAGTCAGAATGAATGTGTTCAATAAATACCTCAGGTATCATCTCTGGGCTCTAATTACACAAAATCTGTGGACATGTGATGTACAAACAGAGGGCTGGCTACAAAATAATACGATTACATTTTTTGGTTGCTTTACATTGGTGACAGGCTGTCCATGTAGATGGGCGGCCGAGGTGTTTCCTATCCTCCACTCCTGAAGAGCAGAGCCTCTGCTGTCACTCACACCGGAGATCACACTCAAAGGGCCAGTCATCGCTCAAAGACTAGCCCTGTACAGTGTCCTTCCCCTGCGACATCACCCAGAGCCAAGCTGCTGAAACCACTCTGGGGGATTCCTCAGGCAGGAGTAGGCTGCCCTTCACAATTCCTTGCCTGCGCCTGTCTTATTTCTGAATTGTTGTATAGGTCTGGCTCTGTCTCCTTAACTAATCTCCAGGCTTCTAGAAAGTACCTTTCCTTCCCTTTATTCCCTTGAAATATTGAGCTTTTAATCTGGGCTAGAGAATTACTTTGTTTTCACTTGAAAAGCCCCCAGAATGATGGTCCCTCCCTGTAAGGTTTTTGGCTAGTTTCTCATTTCTTTGGAATGTTTTCAAACTGTGTGTATAAAATATTTCCCACATGTAGACAAGAATGAAAACATAACATGATACTTACAGAGACAGTACCTGGTTTAAACAAATATTCATATTTTGCCATATTTTCATCCACCCTCTCCTTTGTGCTTAAATGTGACAACCCCGAAGAAAATCACCTTCATTCCTTCTCTTTCCTTCCATCCCTCAAGATATCTTTCAACTGATCTAGTTCATGGACATCTAAGATTTTTAACTACTACAGGTATAGCTACCTAGAAACTATGTGCTATTGTTGCATGCATTTTAAAGTTTTACATCCCTGGTGTTATTGTATAGATCTTGCTGCACCTTGCTTTTTTTTAATACAAGAGTCTATTTCTGAGATTAGTCCATCTTGATATTCATGGAGCCCGTTCATTCCTTTGGGCTCCTGAACAGTAGCCACATGGATCCATCCACCCGTTCCCCTGTGGAGGGGCAGTGCGGTCCTTCACCCCTTCTGGTGTTCTCAGTGCTACTGTGAACATTTGTAGACGTCAGTCCTGGGGTATGAGCTTCTCTAGGAAGTTTGGTGGATGAGAGCTTAGGCTCTGAAGCCCAATTGCCCCCTCCAGATCCAAGCTCCACCACAAAGTCCCAACAGTGTGATCTTGGGCACGTTTCTTCGTTTCTCTGTGCCTCCCTCAGTAAGATTAGGATAACGGAAGCACCTCCTTCAAGAGAACAAAGCAGTGAGATCAGCGTCTTAACCAAGTAAGCACTCAGTGTATGACAATTATTATCAGGGCGACCAGCTAGGTAGGAAGAGAGTCTGAGCATCTCTGGCTTGATAAAGTGTTGCCAAATTGATTTCCAGTTGGTCGTACCAATTTACACTCTCACCAGCACTATGTGGCTTTCTTCTGTTCCCCACATCCTCACCAGGGATTGGCATCAGCCGGGTGGCTTCCTCATCCTTTCAACTGCAAGAAGATCCAATGAGTCATCAGAGAGATCAGGTGACCAGCAGGAGGGAAAGGAGTCAGCGGGGAGGTTTGCGGAAGTGGAGGAAACTGAATTCTTTTAGGTAAGAAATGTTAAAAATCATGTAGAATTAGACTCCCTGGAAATTGGAGAGTTGCGGAAAATAAGGACGCATGGTACTAAAGAATAATGTCAACAGACAGAGTGTGTCATTTGAGTAAAGGAGAAGCCCAGTAGACCACAGGTCTTTGGGGAATGTGTTGGTGACTTCTCAGAAAGGGTCTGTTAGGTGGTTTAAGTAGGGACGGGATAACTCTTTCTGAAGAGGGACGAGGCAAGAGAGAGAGTAGCAAAATGTCAAGGTTTGTAGAGTAGCCAAGGAGGGGAGACTGAGTTCTAGGGAAAGAAGTCGGTTGGCAGGACTGTTTTTTCTGGAGCCCGGAGGACCAGAGTCATCTGTATGATGCAGCGTTGGCCTCTGCAACATTTCCCTGTTCGCTTTCTTCCCCTCGGTTCCTGTAGGCACTGCTGCACTCCAGACGCCAAGTTCATCATGCTCATGTGTCTGCAGTGGTTATCAGTGTGCCAAGCCATTCCCAGTGCAAGAGCTCAGGGCTCACACAATTCACTCACTTGCTCACGATCATATGTCTTCAAAGTGGTGAAACCAAGACGGGAGCCTAGGCATTCTGATTCCAAGTCTAGGGCCCTTTGCATCAAAAAGAATTCATAGTCATCTTAAACCTTTCATTCTCGACCCGAAAGAGGGTCCCATTTTTCTCCCAAGACCATCACAACCCTTCTGTTTGACCTGCAAGGACGTCCTCTAGTTGGCACTTATCTCTTAGTCCTATTTCCCAAAACGTTCTTAGCCATCCTCTCATGTCCCACCCAAAGCATGTCTTGGCTGATTCGTGAGGTCACCAAGTTCATTCTCACCTCTGCCTGTGTTCATGCTCCTCCCCTCTCTCAGAGACACATCCCTTCTTCCTCCGTCATTCCTCTGGTCCCTGTTCGAGACTTCGGCATTCTGTGATGGCTTCAGTGCACACTCTTTGGAGTGCCATACTGGCTCTTTCATCATGAAACAAGATTCCATCGTACATTCTCTTGAATTGTCCTCAAATTGTTACCCTGTGCAACAAAACACAAAGCAAATCACTGCAGACAGTTTGTATTTTCTTACCAACCCTTTCTTGTTATATAGGAGTTTTTCCAATTACCCTTAGCCTAACACTGAGCACATATCAGGTCCTCCATAAATACTTTTTTTTTTTAAGATTTTATTTATTTATTTGACAGACAGAGATTACAAGTAGGCGGAGAGGCAGGCAGAGAGAGAGGAGAAAGCAGGCTCCCTGTAGAGCAGAGAGCCAGACACCGGGCTCAATCCCAGGACCCTGTGATCATGACCTGAGCCGAAGGCAGAGGCTTTAAACCACTGAGCCACCCAAGCACCCCTTCCATAAATACTTGATGACACTGATGAAATATGGTAGAATCAGAATTAAAAGGAAATACAAAGTATGGAGACTTTGGAAGTTAGGATAAAATTGGGAATCAAGATAAAAGTCTATTGGACATGGTAGGAAATTTAATCGACAAAGCTATATGGCCAACTAGTTAAAAAGTTGCAGAGACAGAAATCAGCACCAGACCAAACCATGGTGTTTTTCTGTTCCCTCTATGATGGCCCTGGTTATCTGGCACTCTGCAAAACCAGGGAAGTGACTTCTAATCACTACTTAGCAAACAGGCTCACCCATGCTCGGAAATAATCAGTATTATCTGTAAATGAGGCTCACACTGTGTGTTCATGCAGCCAAAGTTATATTTAACATTTTATGAAATGAGACAAAAGATTTTTTTTGTGTGTGTGTTCAGTTCTAATTTAATGGGCACCTTGTTGGTGATGAGATATCAAGAAGACCATGCTGTCTCCTGGAGAGCTGAAAATGTGTGCAAATCAGGGGAGATACTCCCATCTATGCACAAGTAAGCGGGTCCTTTGCAGAACAACATGTAGGCAAATCCCAGTTCATATAACCCTGTACGTATTTCCAGGTTGAGATGATACTGATAAAAAGGAATGAAAAGAATGGTGTGGAAGATTTCCAAAACACAGACTGTAAAAAAGATGAACTTAATTTCACAGAGAGGAAAGGGGAAACATTCTTGTGCGTACAAGGCCTGCGAAGTGGAAGCAAATACTTTGTTGCATTGTACCTGGCAAGAGAAAGTGTGGTGGTGGTGGTAGTAATATTCCCATTTAATAATAGGAGATGGGTGGCTGGGCACTTACCTTAACTTGCCCTAAGTCATACGGCGAGTTACTGGCACAGCTAAAACCGGTGGTATTTTGGGAAATGTTTACATCATGAAACACTGAGGCTTTATGTTTTTCTCAATATATGCCAGTCCTCCTAGGTACTTCTTGGAAAACAATGAGTAGAAACTAAAATACATGCTTAAAATGCCCGCTTCATGAATATTGCAAATGACAGGACAACGAGCCTTCTTATTCCCCTACTGCAGGAAATCGGAGTATTAAAACAAAACAAAACAAAACAAAAAAGAAGAATCCTTAGCAGTATTTCTCGAGGGAGAATATAGACTTGCAGCCTGTGCCAGAATTCCACATTATTACCTGAATTCAGAGCTTATGGGTGTGTTTTGCCCACACCCTACATTTTTGGAAATACAGGCCCTGCCATTATGTAAGGTCCACTGAGATGATAACGTGACTCATCTCTTCACAACAGAGCCCTTCTTCTGATCCATTATATATACATATGTATACATATATATATATACACATATATATATACATATATATATAATTTAATATATATATATAAAATGTGCTCCCATGAGCCAAGCTGACTAGCTACCACCCAGACTGACACACATCTATTCATCTCTATGGCTGCCCACTCCCGTCGGTGGGAACCCTGACACAAGACAGAAGAATCTCTTGGAATGACCACTATACTTGTTTTAATCATCTACAGAACCATAAAATGGGGACGACTCAGAACAGAGGAGTAGCTGGTTTAAAATACAGTCTAATTTTCCTCTAAGACCTGAGCGCCCAGCACCCTTCTATATAGTATGGGCCTTTGTTGAGACTTATATTTCCCACCTGTATTTCTTTTTCCTTTTCCAGCAACAGTCTGTCTTTGTACCGGCTCCTAAATAACCATAAATTTTGTTCTTATAAACCTTAATGAATGCCTGGCCAAGATGCTGTAACTATTGGCTTCTACATTGGAGCCTAAATGGAAAGGAAAAAAAAAAAAAGTGTGCACAGTGAAAAAGTGGATAAAATGGAAAAAAGATCACAGCAAACCCAAAGTCGCCATTTGCCTTTAATGTGAAGGAGGCCTTGTTTTCACGGTGTGGCAGCTTTCAGGGGTTTTAATCTCCAAGTGGCTGATCAATTTAAGGTAAGTGGCAGGCGTTTGGCCTGGTTCCCAGGCTTGGCTTTGCTGCTCTGAGAAAAGAAAGGATTCAGTCAGACACACAGACAACAGGCATCATCTGCGGCTCCCACATTCCAAGCATTTTAACACAGATTAGGTTGGCATGATTCTACTGTTTACTGAAATCTCCTAGGTGTTGCATTTTTCCCTCTCCTTGCGCGGTTATCCAAGATGGTTTTCTCAGGTCAGGACCTTCATATGCCAAATAGCTTGCAGGGCTGTGAAGGGAGAAAGAAGAGCATGGGTCAAGACTCCCGATTAAAATGCTATTTCACTTGCTCCCTGCAAAATAGGAGACTTCACACAGCAGGTAACTGAGCGCTGAACTTTTTGCCTTAGGCGTACATCGAGACAGGAACTGTTTTACATGCATTCCTGAGGGGGGAAAAAAAACGGAGATAATTTCTTTAACAAGGACAAACTTAATTCAGCTAGAAATGCCCACTGGATTAACAGGGTGATTTGTAGTTATTTTCTCTTCAGATTTTATAAGCATGAGCCTTTCACATAGGTGGAGCGATATTGCAACCGATGCAGTCCATTTGTTAAATTAACATTTTCACATTATTCTTTACTTTTTCAAAGCAGTTAATGTTAAAAGAGCTCAGCAGATTCCTTGCCACTATCTTATTTTCTATTTTAGCAAAAGGGAGTTTTCTTAATTTATTTGACCTACATTAAATAAAATATGCATTCAGTTGATCTCATCAAAAAAATGTGTTAGTTGTCTTTCATGTGCTTTTGGCCATATTATGCCTTATGGAAATTCTATATTTTTAAATACATTTTCACAGTTTTTAAAAATACTTTATCTCACTTTAATATATTCAGCCCTTTTCCCTTAGTCATCCTCATGACAGAGTTCCTCATTTTTTTCCTAAGAAATTTTATTAAAATAAATAATATGTATTTTAAAAAATAATTTCCAGCTATTAAACTTTTCAAAAGCAGTGTCCAAATTATTATATTTAGCTATACCCAGATATGCCTTCTTAACATTAATAAATTTACATTGACAAAATTAACATTGTTGCAACTGAGTAATTATATTAAGACTGTGCCTGTGAGGGTAGCATTTATTCTCTGCATGTGTTCTAATTTCTGTTGTTATATATGCAAGCGTAGTCTTTAAAAAATCAATATAGGATTCCTCATTGATTAGAGAAAAAAAAGACATAAATGGGATGCCCAGAACTGCAGCAGCCATCTTGCAATCATGAAGAGAACCAGACCAAGAGACCAAGCTGGCATGCTGAGGGTGGCAGACAGGGAAAATGAAGAGAACATGGCTTCGATTATGTCACTGAGCCACAGAATCAATAATCCTGAAACCACCCAACTCAGGATTTCATCTTATATGAGAAAATAAATTCCCTTTCATTTACTCAGCAATATTTGTTGATCACCTACCATGTAGGGTGCTGTCCGTGCCCTGTTCTAGGAGCTTGAATTTCTCAGTGAACAAAATACATAAGGATCCTGCCCTTGTGGAACTAACATTCTAGCCAAGAGAGATAATAAACTAAAAAATAAATAAAGAAATAATATAGTATGTTAAGAAGTAGTAAGTGGATAAAATGTAAAAGTCAAGCATGGTAAAAAGGAGACAGGTGTTGAATAAAGTGAAGGTTGGTCAGCGTCACTGAGGAAGTGAGATTTGAACAAACACTTGAAGGAAATGAAGAAATTATTCTTTAAGCAAGTAAGAAGTAGGTTTTTTGGTTTTTAATTTTTCTTCTTTTTTTTTTTTAAAGATTTTATTTATTTACTTGACAGAGATCACAAGTAGGCATTGAGACAGGCAGAGGGTGGTGGTGCAGGCTCCCCGCTGAGCAGAGAGCCCGATGTGGAGCTCGATCCCAGGACCCTGAGATCATGACCTGAGCCGAAGGCAGAGGCTTTAACCCACTGAGTCACCCAGGTGCCCTTAATTTTTCTTCTTATTAAAAATCCTCTAAATAAGAAGGTGAGCAGAAAGAGACAGATATTTGGAATGTATGTGATGCCAGTTCCACTCAGTTCTTCCTAGTTCCTGTGAGCTAAAACATTTCTTTCTTTGTTTAAGTTTGAGTTGGGTTTCTGTCTCTTGCCACTGAAAGAGACAGACTAGTACATTTTAAGTTGGTCACAAATAAACTAGTTCTGGATCCATGGACAATAAGCCCAAATAGATACTGAGCCATAATTCCATCCTCTATATAATGAGCTTGATTTTCCACACTGGGGATGTCTAGGCATCCATAAGAATGTGACTTAGCAGTCCAGACAAAGTGGTATTGATGAAAGAAGAAATATAAGTCAGTGGAAGATAACAGAGAGCTTGGAAATAACTCCAATAAATGAAGTTAACTGATCTTTGACAAGGGAGCAAAGGCAATACAATAGAGAAAAGACAGTCTCTTCAACAAATGCTGCTGGAACAAGTGGACATCTGTATACAAGAAGAGTAAATCTAGACACAGACCTTATACCCTTTACAAAAATCAACAGAAAATGAATCATAGAGCTAAATATAGAACAAAAACTATAAAATTCCTAGAAGAGGCCATAGGAGAAAACCTACATGGCCTTGGGTATGTCTGTGGCTTTTTACAGAGTCATTACCCATGAAAAAAATCATGGCTGATGCGGACTTCATTAAATTTAAAAACTTCTGCTCTATGAGGGACAATGTCAAGAGAATGAGAAAACCAGCCACAGACTGGGAGAAAATATTTGCAAAACACACAACTGATAAAGAACTGTTATCCAAAAAAAAAAACCCAAACCCAAACCCAAAAAACCTCTTAAAAGTCAACAATAGGGGTGCCTGCCTGGCTCAGTGGGTTGAATGATCCCAGGGTCCTGGGATCGAGCCCCACATTGGACTTTCCGCTCGGCGGGGAGCCTGCTTCCTCCTCTCTCTCTCTCTGCCTGCCTCTCTGTCTACTTGTGATCTCTATCTGTCAAATAAATAAATAAAATCTTAAAAAAAAAAGTCAACAATAAGAAAACAAACAACCTATTTTTAAAATGAGCTAAGGGTACCTGAGTGGTTCAGTCAGTTAAGTGTCCACCTCATGGTTTCAGCTCAAAGAGTGATCTCAGGATTGTGAGATGGAGCCCCATGCTGGGCTCTCACTCACACATGCACATGCTCTCTCCCTCTCTCTCAAACAAACAATGAGCCAAAGACCCTAACAGACACCTTGCCAAAGAATATATATGGCTGAACAATGAACATATGAGAAGATGCTCCACAGCACGTGTCATCAAGAAGATGCAAATTAAAATAGCAATGAGCTTCCACACAACAATTAGAATGGTCAATATTCAGAATATGGATGATACCAAATGCTGGCAAAGATATGGAGCAACAGGAACTCTCAATCTTTGCTGGTGGGAATACAAAATAGTACAGCTATTTTGGAAAACAATCTAGTGATTTCATGCAAAACTAAGTATACTCTTGGAATATGATCCAGCTATCACAAAGGAATTGAAAACTTAAGACTACACAAAAACTTATACACAAATGTTCACAGAAACTTTGTTCATAACTGCCAAAACTTGGAAGCCACCAAGTTGTCTTTCAGTAGGTGAATGGTTAAATAAACTACAGTATGCCCAGTCAATGGAATATTATTGAGTGCTAAAAAGAAATGAAGAGACATGGAAGAACCTTCAATGCATATCACTGAGTGAAAGAAGTAAGTCTGAAAAGACTACACACTGTATGATTCCACCAATATAACATTCTGGAAAAGGCAAAACTATGGAAACAGTAAAAAGATCAGCAGTTGTCAGGAACTGGGAAAGAATGAAGAGGTGGAGCAAAGGGGATTTTTAGGGCAGTAAAACTTCAATGTGGCACTGTAACCGTTGATAAATAACATTACGCATTTGTCAGACCAAAAAGAAAGTGTACAACACTTTCACAAAGTGTTCACACTTTTCCACAATGATGAGCCCTTATGTAAACTATGGACTTTAGTTAATGATAATGTATTAATATTGGTTTATCAGTTGTAACAAATGAACCACACCAATGCATGATGTTAATAATAGGGGAATCTGGGGAGGGGAGAGAAATATATGGGAATCTCTGTTCTTTCTGCTCATGTTTCTGTAAACCTGAAACTTCTTTTTAAAAATAAAGTCTCTTGGGGGTGCCTGGTTGGCTCAGTTGGTAGAGCATGCAACTCTTGATCTTAGGGTTGCGAGTTCAAGCCCCAGCGTGAGTATAGAGATTACTTAAAAAAATAATTTCAAAAAATTAAGACTCTTTAAAAAAAAAAAGAAAAGCACTAAACATAATAGGAAAGATTGATCATTCAGACTCATTACAATTTAAAACCTCTGTTCATCATGGGATGCCTGGGTGGCTCAGTCAGTTGGGCATCTGACTCTTGATTTTAGTTCAGGTTATGATCTTGGGGTCATGGGATTGACCCGCGTGGGATTGAGCCCCACTGAACACAAAGTCTGCTTGTTCTCCCATTGCTCCTCCCCAACTCATTCACTCACTCTCTCTCTCTCAAATGAGTCAATGAAATCTTCTAAAAAAAAAATAAAACCTCTATTCATCAAAAGACACCATTAAGAGAATGAAAAGACAAGAAGCAATGTGGGAGAAGATATTTTGCATGGATAAATCACACAAAGAACTATTTCTAGGCCATATAAATATCTCTTATAAATCAATAAGAAAAAATGGACAGACTTAATTATTTTTAAGAAAGGATAAAAGATATGAATAGATTTCTTACAAAAAAGAATATCCAAATGGCCAATGACCATTAGAAGGTGCTCAACATCATTAGTTACCAGGAAAAGGCAAATTGAAAACAAAACAAGATAATCACACCCCAGAATGGCTATATTTTAAAAGGTTGACAATAGTGAGGATATAGACTGTGAGAAACTCTTAAAATGCTGTGGGACTGCAAATTGGCAAAACTACTTTGGGAATTTTGTTGCCAGTAAAGTTAAGCATACACCCACTCTATAACTCAGCAATTCAGCCCCTAGGAGTAAATGCAAAAGAAATGCCTACATATGAGCACAAAAACATAGTTACAAAAATATTATTAGTATTTATTCTTAATAGAATCAAGGGGCATCTAGGTGGCTCAGTTGGTTAAGCATCTGCCTTCGACTCAGGTCAGGTTCTCCGTGTCCTGTGATGGAGTGGGGCATCAAGCTCCCTGCTTGGCAGGGAGTCTGCTTCTCCCTCTCC